CCATGACAGAGAGCGGGGAACACAAAGAGTGCAAAGCAAATTCTCTTTGGTCTCCCTGTGAATTGAGGCACTTTAGTCTGATTAAAATATGTAATGATGCCAGTTCCAAGGCTCATCTCTATGGGAACATGAAGGACTGGTCCTTACTGCACAGCTGAATTTCTCCAGCCAGGAAGGGCCCTCCAAAGACAAAGCCAGCTTCATCCCCGTGGTCAGCCTTCACATACTCTGGTTTGCTGTCCCAGTACGAACTGGGGCGGTGCTGGAACTCAAAGAAGTAGGTGGGGGCTCCAGACTCTGGAAAATGGAATATTTAGAGAGTTAAAGAGATGCACAAAGTGCAGTTGACATCAGCTGTTCAAAATACCACTTTAAACGTGCCCAAAGCTTTATGCTGGGCACATTTCTAATGTAATGTCACACTCAAATGTGTACTTTTATTTTTAATTCAAAATTAAGAACTCACAGCACTTCCCTCCCCCCCCCCAAAAAAAAAAAAAAAAAATAAAAAAAAAATCAAAGTTCATCACAGGAAAAGTTCCAGAAAACAAAATAACATCAAGTTATTTCCAGTTATGGTTTCTTGGCAGGGTTTGTCATGATTTTTAGAAATCTCCAGACAACAGAGCTGCTGACTTCCCACTTAGCTGTGGGCCAAAGGGCAGAGGTTGCTTTGATATATTTTAGTTTGTAAGCCTGTATAGTTCAGTTAGCAAACATTTATCTGTGTTATCGTGCTCTGGTCTCAATACATTGTGATTATGAGCACAGTGCAAGACACTAGGACAAAGATGAAGGACCACACACACCCCTGCAGACCTACATCATTCTTCATCCTCCACTTCCCAGTGGGAATCTCAAGAAGGGTTGCCTACACGACAGGATTTGTGTCTGCATCCTTTGATGCAGCATGCAGTGAGAGGTTTGAATATCCTACTGCAGTTCCTCAGCTTACCCCTGTGATAATTCAGGGCTTTGATGGCTGGCATGACAATTGCCATATCCCCCAGCAAGTCCAGAAACCGGTCCCTTAGCTCAGCAGGATCATCCGTGTCTCCTACATATTCATCCACTATCCTGGGCAGAAAATCTGATGGCAGATCCTGAGAGACAAGGGGGAAACAGGAAAACAAACAGACAAATCATCAGTGTCTCAGCAGCTAAAAAACACGTCATCATTTAACTTCAGAGATTCTGCAAAGGCACAAAGGTTCAGGATGGCTCCCATGCTGATGGGAAATAAAACCCATTCAGACTTTTTGTGAGGGAAAAAAACCCCAAAACCAACATAAAAAGGCAAACAAAACCAAAACCCCAACAATAAAAACTAAAACCACGCCCAAAACCCCAAAGCCAAAACAAACAAAACCAACCAAACCAAAACCAACCAAACAAAACCAAACAAAACACCTTAAACCCTCCAACCACCTCAGGTCAAATTTACACCAGATTTATATGGGTTAAAACTTTACAGGATTCAAAGATCCAGCAATTTTTCCTGAAAATACCTCTGGCTTCTGTTTCCTTCAGAAGAAAAGAGATGGGAATAACAAAAGTAAATCCTCTGAGTCCTTGAAAGATTTATGACTATTAGACTACAGGGCAAGACCAACTGGATCTCGGAACACAGGGCAGGTTTTTAGTGCTAGAATTTGCTGCTTGGAAGACACACTTTAGGAGTGCAAAGTAACTACTTTAAAAGCTGCTTTTAATTTCATGTAAACACCTTGAAAAATCCTGCCTTGAAACAAACCCATCAAGCAGGAGATTTAGCCAGGAGATACCTGAGCATTAGGAACACTCTTAAAGTAATCCCACATACAAATAGGTAAGATAAAAATGTTGCTTCAGAAATCTAGAAAGGAAAACATTTCCCCACATCCTGGGCCTGGCTCAATCCTATTTCTGTGTTAACACCCCAGTCCTGTCAACTTTGCTGGGACTCTCCCCAAAGCATAACATGACCTCAGCTCTTAGCAACGTTGTAACTCAGAGCTGTTCTATGCTTGACAAAGAAGATTCCCTTCTCAAATTAAATCAGGGCAGCAGTACTTACCATCATTGGTAGAAAAAACTGTAAAGTTGAAGTGATCGATTTTTTATCTCCTATTTCCCTCAGACCTGTTATTTTTGATGTCTGCACAGGAAAGAAAAAAAAAGAATATTATTAGCACTGTTCAGCTTCATTATTTTTAACACTGGAACTACATTATTCCACTTTACTCTTACTACTGGTGTTTATTTTTGGAAGCATCATAGGCAGAAGTGCAGCACAACGGAGCAGCTGCCTTGAAAAGCCTGCATTTACTGCAGGAAATGTTTCCTTGGTGAAGGTTTCCACCCAAACCAAAGTTTATTCTTAAATTAACAGACATTAAGAAACTTGTGAGATTAGAAAGAGAGCTGAAGCAAGAAGCTTCTTCTGTCTCACAGGGTTTTTGGGGACCTTAAAAGTCACGGGCAGCCTCCAGTAAATTGTTGGAGCCCTTTGAAATAAAGGCACTGCTCCTCCTCTTTCACAGCATTCCAGAAAATAACTCCCAGAGACACAGCTGTTGGGCAGGTTCAGACTGACTACACAGCCTGAATACTCAGGAGATGGAAAAAAAAAAAAACAGGACTCAAAAAAAAATAGAGCAATTGTTGTCACTGCACAAAGCTTCAGGAAGCTTTGTGCAGTGACAACAATTGCCTATTTTTTTGAGTTACCCATTGAGTTCAGGAAAGAATTTATACACAGAGAATGGGATTTTCCTGTGTATCAATTCTGTGTAACAATTCTGTGTATCAACCCTGACTTCCTGTGCCTCGTGAGGGAAAGGGTTTGGGTTTGTTTTGCTTTCAGGAATAAACTCTTGAATGTTGTGTTCTTTTCACTCTCTCTGCCTGGGTGAGGGATTAAAATTTTAGGGTAGGAAAATACTGCACAAAATTGATGTTCCAATTAGTCTGTGGTTCTGGGTCATTACAGAGTCAATGCAAGCAAAATTTACCTTGTATGTATTTCCAACAATGCAAAGCCTGGTCCTACCAGAAAATACCTTCTCAAGTTGCTTCTACCAGTTAAGAAACATTTAAAAAAAAAAAAAAAGAATAACCATTAAATTACAGATCTGATATTCCAGCCAAATTCATTGTTGGTGACTCCTATCATGAATGGAACTGCATTAAATTCTTTTCCAGCCATTATCTCTTCAGGTGACTTATGAAGAAATACTCCATCCACAATTATGGGCAGAAATGGTACGTCCTGAAGGAGGAGGAGAAAAAAAAGAGATCAAATTACTTGTTAACAGTATTTTCAATTCAAATCATAGAAGGTGTTCTCATTTAATGCTCCAAGTGCAAAAAAAGGGCTTTAAGAAATCTGAGCTACTGTAACACTGATCTAGTTTGGCACGAGAGCATAAAATGCAAGGCTGGTTGGGCCAAGGTATGGAGTAAGGTGATGGTTTCCTGATCCTGTGCTGCCTCTAACTGACATTAAAACGTATGATATGCCCAAGCCTTGCTCTCAACTTTCCAGGTGCTGTGACAGAGAGAAATGATGGGATATTCCAACATTTAGGGGCTACTTTGACGAAAGTTAAGAAAAATCAATTTTTTTGGAGCAGGCCAACAATGAACTCTGGTCAGAGGCTGAGCAATGCAAGTTAAATATTCTGTAGCTCTGCAGAGTCTCACCTACCGTGGTGTTGAAGATGATATGCTCTGCTTCCTGCTTCCTTAAGCAGTTTAACAGGGAGAGGGAGCTGCTTGTGTCACACTTAAAGATACCTGCAATTTTCTGAAAATGGTTCACAAAGACAAGGACTGTTAGCTGTGAGGTGGTCTTGAAGGGACTCGTAAACAGAAGATTATTATACACACTACTGTAAATAGTTTTCCTTAAGGGCAGCTTTAGGTGAGCTTGGTAGATCTTTGAGTACTTTATTTTACTAGAAATACTGCACACAGAGTGAAATCATTCTGGTGTACTTCTCTTTCTTGCTATATTTCCATTCCCTGTTCTACAACGTACTTTAATCTAGAGAAAATACAAGGTTACAGCATAAACCAAATAAGGAAAGAAAGTTCAGAAAATCGGTTTCTGAGATATTTACATCACCACCTGCTGCTGCAGGAGGAGAAATGAAAAGTACTTCTAAAACAAATTTTATTTGACAGTATTTTGGTTTATATTTAACTACTTTACTTCACATAAAAGCTATCCATAAAAGACTACAGTTCAATGAAAAGTGAATGCCTCTTCTGGGTTCTTATTAAACTTTCCATAATAAATGCCATAGTTACTCCATAGGGAACAGCAGGTACAAAAATGGACATTTGCCTTGCTTGGCATGTGTGTAACTGAAAATATCCACATCAACCCACTGCTGTTATAATCACATACCTGTACAATCTCTTTCTAACACCAAACAAGACTGAAAATAAATAGGTATGCTGTGAGAATAGACTTGATCAACTTGGTTGCATAATATGCAATGAAATTTCCCCCCCCCTTTTTTTTTTAACCACATGATCATATAAATATCCCATTTTAGGTTATAAAGGCTTTAAAATGCAAAAAACCCAAGCCTACCTTAGGATCTACTGAAAGAAGTAACTCTCTACTGGGGGGAAGTAAAATTCCACTCTCTGATATTGCTTTATGAAAGAGACCCTTAGACAAAGGAGATAAAACCTGCCAAGAAGGGGAGAACAAAAATTATTCTACATAAACATCCTTAGCCCAAACTTTATGCTTGATTAGACTCTTGGATTCAGTGGGGAATTACACATTTTTGTTTGCTTACAGGGGAAGTCTCCAGACTTAGCACAACGTGCTGTTAATCTCACCTCAAAAATAAGGTTAAGCACAAAATGTTGCACTAAATGAGTTTTTGAAGATTTTGTTTTTAAAGCCTTTACTTCTAGTTTATCTACTGTATGCCTACATGTGCAAAAACAGAGCAAGATCCTGCAGATACACCGAAGAGCGTGACAGATCCTGGATCTCCACCGAAGTGTTCGATATTTCCTTGGATCCACCGAAGAGCCGCCACTTGGTCCAAGTAAGCCCAGTTCCCACGAGCGTGTTCATCCCCAGTACTGAAAGACAAGCATTTTGCTATGAAAGATAGAAGGGCATAAAGCAACTTTTCTTAGCTTAGGTTTTACAGGAAAAGAGGCAGCAGCCCCCTGTCCTGTGATTTCTGGCTGGTGTAGCTCTCACTCCCCCAGAATTTTGCTCTCTCTCTGTACCCACGCTAGCCCTAGCAGGAGTTCTCAATGAGCACTGCAGGGCACAGAGTGAAATAAGGTTAAAACAGCACAGAAATCTCCCAGGAGATGTTAGCAAACCGCTTCCACTATAACTAGCCTACACACTGAGAAAAATTCACTTGAGCCACAGGAAGAAACTACAGTAAGGAGCCCAGTGAAAGTTAACGGTTAACTTTCTGCATAAAAAATGGGTGGCTGTTACTCTAGTTACTAACAGAGATCATGGCAGAAAGAGATCATCAGGTGCTGCATGTGTATGAGAAACAATTACATTTCCTGTGTTTCCCCAGTTACTTGTCTTTGATCAAGTCATTACTTATTTTGTGTTAAACAGGTGGAGACATGCTTAGCAGAAATTCAAGGTGTTGAGAACAAAACTGAGAGGCACCAAAGGCACAACATTACAAATATTCACTAGAAACCATTACAGTGGATAAAAGATAAGATGCACTGAAGTGTCTCCCTTAGGAGTACAGATTTGGGTAGTATTTGAGACATGCTCTGTGTGACTTGGTGTTAGAAATCAAAATCAGAGGGTGGTTGGCACTGAACAGGCTCCCCAGGGCAGTGGGCACAGCCCCAAGGCTGCCAGAGCTGCAGGAGGGTTGGGATGATCCTCTCAGGTGTGACTCTTGGGACTTTGCTCTGTGCAGGGCCAGGAGTTGCAATCAGTGATCCTGATGGGTCCCTTCCAGCTGAGAACATTCAGTGTGACTGTGATTTGGCTCAGGAAGGTGTGCACAGCTGAGCCACAGCCCCCCACAGTCACAGCCAGGGCCCTCCTCACCTCCTGTCTGCTCACCCCCACACTGAGGGATCCCTGCCCTCTGCTCTGCAGGAGTTTTTACTGTACACACCAATGGATGGAAGCAGAGGCAAGAACAAACATCCAATCCAGAACCAAATCAGCCCAACTACGGTTTGATAGCAGGCTGCAATCAAATGACAATGCAAATGGGATTTACAGACATTTCTAAGGCTCTCACATCCTGATATCAGTGAATTATGTACCCTGAAACCACTGTAACAGTGGGAAGCTGGTAAAGAAGTTCAGGTGATTTAGCAAACAAAACTACCCATGCTTTAAACATGACAGGAAGTACTTTGTAAAAAGTGAAATAGGGGATCTTACTTGAAGTATCCAAGGAGTCCAAGTCTGTACTGAATTATTACTACCACAACATTCTCATAGGCTGACAGTGCTGAACCATCATACCTAGAAGCACCACCAAATATAAAATTGCCTCCATGGATCCACACTATTACCTTAGGAATAAAAAAGGGTGAGACACACTTTTATACACTGGTTTGCACATTTCAAAAAGGAAAACACCACCAGGTAATGAAGAACTCCAAAGCACCAAAACACGATGGCAGCTGAATTTTAGGTTGGTGGGCTTTGAATTTTACATTTTACATACTGGTATTATTTCTGCTAGTGCAGCATCACATTTTCAAAAGCAATTCAGATTCTTAGGAGCAATCATTAGGTGCAAACTTTGTACTACACACGTTTGTACCATGGGTTTACTTACAGGTAACTTGTCCTTGTTGCTGGAACCAGCAGGGCTGTAAACACTGAGATACAAACAGTCCTCAGAAGTTCGGAAGGGAATGTGTTTTTCTTTGAAGTTTCTTTCAGTTGTTTTCAACAAGGACAGATCTTGAGGACACCTTCACAAAAGAAAGGAAGCACGATTATTAATGATGAAACTGCAACAGCCTCAGTGTAATAATGACAGAGAGAACACTCTTCTGCCCCACAGGCTGAATCCCGATGGGGTGCTTGAGCTTTGTGTAACTTATCCACAGCTGGAGGTGCAGCCTGGAAAAGCAGGACTTGGCCTTGAAATACTCCAGTACTGGCAGTGCATCCACTACCAAATCCTTCCCAACAATCTGTATCCCAATAAACACAACCCCAACTGAGCCACACGAGCAGGGCCTGCATACAAAGGATCTGAACAGCTCTCACAGGGGTGGGTAAGAGGTGGCATCTCTCACATCATTCCAGGGCTCAGGTGGTTCAGGTGGGGAAAACCTCAAGGATCCAACGGGGGCTTTTGCAAAAGGAATTCCAAGGAATGCATTTACAAGTTTGTCTGTTCCCTTCACATTTGTTTGCTTCCCTTTGAGCCGTCCAAGCTCAAGAGTCACCTCTGGCTCAGCACCACTCTGTCCTAAGAAACACATAAGATGTAAAAAAAAAAAAAAAAAAAAAAAAAAGCATCTTTATAATTATCAGACAGACTTTTCAATTAGGTATTTTAACTGTTTAATTTAGAAAATTTCAGCTTATTCCTTTCAGTTGTGTTCAGTTTTCATTTTGCTTCTGTGCAATGACAGACACGCCCTGTCAAACCCTCCCATATCTGCTCTGCCAGCGACACCTGGGACTAGGTAGGACAGAGTTTGGTCACTGTGCATGTTATAGTCAAATGACCAGATATAAATTTTTTCTTTTAAATATATTGTAGAAATTTATTGAAGGCAAATAAGCAAAACAGCGCGCTGGAAGACCCGGGGAAACTCCTGTTCCGCCAACGGTCTTCCCGCCAAAAACGTGCCATGATCTTTTATATGTGCCGCTATTCCCTCCCCTTTAGGCGGCGCCTGGATGCCGGGTGGCAGGTCCCAGATGGAGGTGGTCCTCAGATGGCAGCGGCTGCTCTCGGAACGGGGCGAGTGGCTCCTCCCTCGGGCCGGCTCCTCCCTCGGGCAGCTTGCTGCCACGGCTGCTCCGCCGCTCCTGGCTCGGCTGTGACAGGCTGTGCCGGGGGCTGTGCCGCTCGGCTACGCCCCTTTTATCCTTATCTTTATAGGCACATTTAAAGCTTACATTCAGAACTTGTTTAACATAGTAAGATATAGCTTTCCATAGTAACATAACATTGTGGTTTGACATTTGTAATTCAAACTAACCACTAACACTAACATTGCAAAGATAATTTGATTAGCAAATTATTTATCTTTGCCTTTATTAACTATTTCAGTGCATAAAGCTGAAAAGCAAATTTCAGAGCTAACAGCAAAACCATTAACATTTCCTAAATTTATCATTCAACAAAATCTTAACAATATTTACTTTAGATAATTCTGAAACGTTTTTGCTTTCAGCCTTTTAGAGAAGATGAAAGCTTTCTTTTCATAAAATCATCTCAGAAATAGCTTCACCTCACAAAGCCTTTGCATCACTAAGATACTTTTGCAGATTGTTACCAAAGCAGAAGAGATTTACTGCCTTTGAAAAATCACACTTTGAGAATCCACTTTCTCAACAGCAGTAACTACAGCATCTCACCTGCTGCTCCACACCAGAGGAACGCAACACTACAGAACAGGGAGCAAAGCAGCGCAATCCCCCTTTGAGGAGCCATTCTTCATGCCCCGTTGGACTGCCGCTGACTCGCTGGTTTTATGCGGCAGAGCAGGTACAAAGGTCCGGGCCGAGGGCACTGCGGGCAGGGAGCGCAGCCCAATTCCCGTGACCGGGAACACTCCCAGCATGCTGACACAGCCCCTGGAGCAGCGCAGCTCAGCGTTTCCTGATCCCGGCAAGGGCCCCGCGCCGCCCGGGAACAACCAGGGAGCCGACCGGAGTTAATCTGCTGCCAGGGCTACGGGCAAAGAAAACGGGGGAGGGCTGAACAGCTTCCAGCGCTGTCAACAGTTAAACGCCTTTATAAAACCCCGTAAACAAACAAAGACTCTACAAAAAAAACCCAAACCAAAACAAAAAAAAACCGAACAAAAAACCCCCACAAAACAACAAACAAAACCACCTCAAAACAAACAACAAAAACCCCAAACAACAAAACCTAACAACCCCTCCCATAACAAAACCCAGCTAAACCCGCTCCAAACACGCACACGAAATCCCCTTAAAAACCGAAACCCACACACACACACACACACGACTCAAAAAACCCACCAAAACCCCAAATGAACAGGATTACAGATTACAAATAACTAGAAAATGATAAAAACCCCAAACAGTTAATTCTTGTTTTAACCCCATTATAAAGGGGTGTATCAATGCGAAGTATGTAATCGCTTCATTCTACCCCTCCAGTTTAAGTTTGCCCGTTTTTTTTAGATACAGTCCGACTCTTGAAAGTAACGAAGAGGTGAGATAAATAACTTTAACCGAGGCATCCCCGGCGGCAGCGGGCTCAGCCCTCACGGCCACGGCGCCGCCTCCATCGCTCCGGCGCTGGGCCGAGCCGGGACCAGCCCCGCTGCCTGCCCGCTGAGGCACCGCCAGCACGGGGGACCGGGACCGGGACCGGGACCCGCTCTCAGGATTCTCCTGGATGAACGAGATATCCCCGCTGCCGCCTTCAGCAGGTTCCACCACGCGGGGAACCGGGACAGCCCCACTCCCGCCCTCAGGGAGCTCCCGGGGAATCGGGACAGTCCCGCTCCCCGCCCTCAGAACGCAGTACACGGGAACAGGGATAACCCCACTCCCCGCCCTCAGGAGGGAGGTACCCGGGAACAGGGACAGCCCCGCTCCCCGCCCTCGGGAGGGAGGTACCCGGGAAACAGGGACAGCCCCGCTCCCCGCCCTCGGGAGGGAGGTACCCGGGAACAGGGACAGCCCCGCTCCCGCCCTCGGGAGGCTCCCCGGCCGGGCAGCCCCGCCCGTTCCCGGTGCGCTGCCGATCGCGGTCCGGGCGGTTCCGCCGCCGCCGCCATGGTGGGCCCGGGCCCGGCGCCGCTGGAGAACGCGAACCCGCTGATCTACCGGCGCTCCGGGGAGCGGCCCGTCACCGCCCGCGACGAGGACGAGGAGCTGCCCGACGCCATCGACGACCGCGAGATCTTCGATATCCTGGGCCGGGCAGGGCAGGGCAGGGCCGGGGCGGGGCAGGGCAGGGCCGCGGCACTTTCCTTAACCCGCACATCTCATCCGCTCCATCAATGACCCCGAGCACCCCCTCACCCTGGAAGAGCTCAACGTCGTGGAGCAAGTGCGAGTGAAAGTGAGATCCCGCCGAGATGTGCTCGCTGTGCTGGGCTGTGCTGGGGGGCAAAGCGGCCTCAGCTAACTAGTTACTTCTTCTATCCTTGAAATATGCTTATCATAACGGTCTACTGCATAGTGCTTAAAATTAATAATAGTATTTTAACTAATTAAGTAGTATTTATTTTATATAACGATATATTATAGCCATATATTATTATACTTTATTATAGATAACATATAGTTATAATTAATATATTTATATATTTATATGTATGTATTCAATGGTATTTTAAAATGTCAGTGAACAGTGCAGCACCACGTTGCACGTCACATGAAAGGCCTCGGGCTGGTTTGGGGTGAAATCAGCAGGTTTTGCCCCCAGCTGGTGTTGGTTTTTGCCCAGGTGAACGATGCTGAGAGCACGGTGTCGGTGGAGTTCACCCCCACCATCCCACACTGCAGCATGGCCACCCTCATCGGCCTCTCCATAAAGGTCAAACTGCTTAGGTCTCTGCCTGAGAGGTTCAAGGTGAGTGACCACATCACTCTGGGAGGCAAAACAGGGGTATTGTGTTTAGAAAAAGGAAAAAAAAAAAAAAAATGGGCAACCCCTCAACTTTATAGTGAAAATAACTAGAGCGTTTTTCATTTTGTGCATGAGGGAGACTCCAGGAACAGAGGGGCAGTGGGCTGAAATATCAGTGCAGTTATGGTTCTGTGACAGTCATGTCTTGGGGTTTTGGAGGGAAATTACCTGCAGTGCTCTATGGCCCAGGAGAAGGAGAGGTTGGTGCCCCACCCTTGTCTGAAGCAGGCTTTAGCAGATGGAATGCAGAATATGCTGTGATTTTAGACTTCTATTTTATTCTGTTATATATAATAACTGCTCTTGGCAAGAATGTCCATTTCCCTCTCTTTTTGTTACTGTCTAATTTTTATTCAGTAGCTTGAACTTCCCATGTTTTGTTAACTCATCCCCTTTCTCTTTTGTGGTGCCTGTGAAGCTGGATGTTCATATAACACCAGGAACACATGTCTCTGAGCATGCAGGTAAGACTTCAGTGCTCTCTTGGGTGCTCTTCTTTGTGTATTTTAGTCTTGAGAGATTCCCACTCCTGCAGAGCATCTGTTCGGTACCTGGGACTTTGTGTGCGTCAGATGTTCCAGAACAGGAACGTGTCATGTCAGAGATTGTTCTGCACCATCCTTTGAGCATCTCCTCAGGCAACCTGTGCTCTCAGCAGTCATTGATTTTCCTGGGAAATGCAGGAGGAGAGCTGGGGGGATTTCCTGTGTCCCACGCCCACAGCAGCTCCCTGCTGCTGAATCACGGGCAGCTGGCTGCTTTCACTGATGACACAGGAGCTCTGCCTTTCAGCTGCAGCTCTGGGGTGTGCTCGGCATCTGCAGCACTGCCTGGGGTACCATGGCAACTGTCATTATCTGTCTCCACGTAGGATGCTTTCACAAAGGCACTGTGCACCGCTGTCCTCACCGCTCTCTTGTCTCCTCTCCTTTCTCTGCACAGTTAATAAACAGCTCGCCGATAAAGAGCGTGTGGCAGCTGCTCTGGAGAACTCTCACCTCCTGGAAGTGGTGAATCAGTGTTTGTCTGCTCGGTCATAATTGCCTGGTGAGGAAATCACTGGCATTCTGCTCTGTTAAAGTAATTTTGTATTTAAGTGATGGTGTTACACTATACATGTAGCTATGAGCAAAATAAAATCACTTGGATTTTCTTGAGGAAATGTTTCTTTACTCTTGCAAAAAATAAATTGTGGGAATTAGCATACAGGCAGCTACAAAATTATAATGAAAATTGGCTTTTTAATTGTATGAGTCATTGCATAGGTAGGATTTTTCTTTTAAAATACTTATTTCCACTTGTTTTTAACTGGTTTCTCACTACCCAGCATTAGTTATAAACTGCATTTTAGAAGTGGATCTTGTACACTGGACTTCACAAGTACACCAAGATAATTTGCAGTTAAAATCTTTACATTCACGTGACTGTTTTAGGCTGCTAATACAATTTTAGCTTCAGACATCAAAAGCTGTACAAGTTGGTGTCTGCAAAGTTGTAGCACATTTTAGCAGAATGTGTAAACACTTCTAAGTTGTGTGCCTGGCCTAAAAATTACATTACCTCGGATTAACCAAATACAGAGTGCTCTTTATAAAACATGGTTTATTTTTAATTACTACTTACTTGGGGTAGAAAATTCAGTATCTTTGAGGGAGGGGCTTTTTTTTAATGCACCTGCCACAATATAGGAGTTATTCATAGTTTTCAGTATGAACAGCCCAGCAACCCTGTGCTGTGTTTGACAGCGTGACAAGTTTTGCTTTAAATATATTGAGATTTAATACTAAAACCTGGCCTATATTATATACTATTTAATACTAAAACCTGGCTTCTGGTTTGGGAAGTGTGGCATTCACTAAACTGTTGTCTTTGACAAGAGAAAAATTCATCAAGAATTAATTTGAACTTTTAAAAAGGTGTCTCTAGTCATGGACAACGTGGAAAAATAACAGCCTGTTAAATCCTGTCAGGTATTTTGGTGCCTGCACACGTACAATGTTACCTTCACCATCATCAGTTATCTGGAGAATAAGTAACAGACTTCCTAAAAAGTAGATTGTGCTCTCTTGCCTTGGCTGAGCATCCTCTGAATGGCCAGCCCTTGCTGGGCTGCATGAATGAAGCTGTAAATAAGGCCAATGTTTATGTAACATTAATATTGGGCAAGGAGCAGAACGACCCAGCTTTCCTCTCTGCCTCTCGTGGTGAATCCCTGGACTGATTAGTTCTGACATTGCCAACATTTGCACCACAACTGACGCTTCAGCTGTGGGAATGCAGGCAGGCAGCTCCTGGGCACCACACTTGGGTGCTTTCCTTTTGTTTGCTGGTTTTTGGTGGCTTTTTGAATAGAAAATGAATTTTGCCTGCCCAGATTTTGGGGTAGAAAGGAATGCAAGTATGTGCCGGGGGAAAACAGAAGGATGACTACGCTGCCTACAGATTGCTTCAACCTGCACTCCAAATTGGGAAGGAATCGGTAAATTAGGCTTTGTTAAAGATCTCTGCTTGGCTTTCTGTATAATACTGGTGTTAAGTAATTTATTGGGATCTTGGCACTTGCCTCATCAAGCACATTGTCCAACCCTATATATAAAGTGGGGGTGCACTTTATACCTTTTACCTTTTCAGAGAAGCAACAGTTTGTGTTTGATGGTTTAAATTTACGGTGGGGATATATTTATAGTTGGGGATGGCTTTCCAATAAGGGGAATCTGTTGTGGGATATCAAAGAAAAGGTCTGACTTCTGTTATTTAGAGCATAGAATTGGATTACTTGAGAACTGGCATGTTTGTTGAAGTGATGTGGATGTTACATTTATGATGGAAACAACAAACCACAGTTAACTTTGCTGCAGATCCCAGGTTCTCCTGTCCAGGCTCCCTCAGCTCTGCACTTGCCACCAGGTCTAAAAAATCTTCCAGCCTGATTTTAATCATCACTATCTGACTCCTGCTGGATGGAGGTAAAGTGGGAGAAGAAAACATTAACTTGTCACAAATATTCCTCTTCAGACTCTTATTTGTCCAAAAAGCCACCCCTAAATTTAGTCTCTGGAATGCTTTGTAATAGGACCCATTCCATGAGAAACTACAACCCTTGGAGCAGCTGTGTTGAATACAAGCAGCCTCATTCATCCAGGAAAAATGCCAGAAGCAGACATCTGCTGCACCTTCCTGTGCTCAGGGGTGGCTGGATGGCATTCCCTGCTCCCAGTCTGGCACAGGGGCTCCCTGGGGCAGCAAACCTGCCTGGGATGTGTTGGAGCCCAGACAAACACAGCTCCTGCACCTCCAGCCCTCACCCTGCTCAGGTCCATCCTAATCCTGGGAGAGAGCAGCATTACCCCCTGCTCCCACACTGTCCTTGCTGCCTGCTATCAGCAACCTGCAGCTTCTCAGCACTGTCAATCCCACACTTCCACGCATGGCCCAGAAGCAGCTCAGCAGCTTTGTATCCAAAGACACAACTGAGCTGTCCGTGGAAGATCCTCCACACTGTTTGTGCCCCTGGGGAGAGCAGTGTGTGCCACACTCTGGGCACTGTTAGCAACGTCAGTTCAGGACTCTGGCCCTGCTGAGGAGTGAGGAGTCTACCTCAATGAAGTGCTTTGGTAAAGATCTCCCTCTGGAGCCCTCATTTATAAACTACCTGTTTTACAATGCCTTTTTTTATAGCTGTTAAAGCACTTCCCTTTAGCCTGTCAAGCAGAGAACAAGACCCCTTTCCCTTCCTTTACAAAATGCACTGTTTGGCATAAATACAGACTGAAGAAGTGGCAGAGCCAACTTTTTTCCCTAAGCAGAAGAAAAGTTTATAGCAAAATCTTTCCAGTGGTGCTGTGGAAAGGTAAGTATGAGCACAGAGAACCAAACCAGGGAAGGTCTGCTGCTGCATCTCACAGCCATTTGCCAGCAACATTTAATAGAAAGTACGTAAAACTTTTCATTCCCCAAAATGCTAAAAATAAAGAACATTTACAAAACATACAAATAGCAGAGAATCCTCATTTTGTCCAACATGCTTCAGTGTTGCTGAAGACGTGGCATCTCACTCTGTGACCTCACATATTTCTTATTATGAATTCATACATTTTTTCTTTTATGTCCCACCTGTAAGGGGCTTTTGCATCCTGCCCCAGGTTATCTCCATTCCTTAATGTTCCTCTGTGGATCAAAGGAGCAGCACTGTCTGCAGTGATAAGTACATCCTGGTTGGTTGGATGGATGGATGGAACTCTGCTCTCTCAGCTTCATTCTGCCCACTCCTCAGGGTCCCTTGCAGGTGTCTCACTGGGTTTGTTACACGCTCACACCCTTGAGACAACAGGGCTCTCCTCTTTGCAACAGAAGCTGAAGCAGGCTCTGGGTCCAGCCATAGCTCAGATCTCAGAGCAGGACTGCAGGGAGAGAACAGGGCAGAAGTTCGTTTCCAGCAAGCCTGTGGAACAAATATAACATGGGAATCAGGAATCCTGCTGCCTGAAACCTTTGGGAAGACATAGGAAGAGAATGAAATGGCAGGAATGTGCAACACCACCCTTTGCTGCCACTGTCACAGGATCACAGAATGGGCTGGGCTGGAAGGGACCCACCAGGATCACCCAGTCCAAACCCTGGCCCTGCACAGGCCCCATCCCCAGGAGTCACCCCCTGTGCCCCAGAGCATCATCCCAACCCTCCTGCAGCTCTGGCAGCCTTGGGGCTGTGCCCACTGCCCTGGGGAGCCTGTTCAGTGCCAACCACCCTCTGGGGGAAGAACCTTTCCCTGAGATCCACCCTGAGCCTGCCCTGGCACAGCTCCAGGTCTCAGTCTGTGCCAACATGGAGCTCCTACCCTGCTGGCAGCTTTGCCTTCAGACTGCAGGGGAAACAAATGAGCTGGCATTGCTGGATACCTCCCATGCCCCTGCTTCCCTTGTTCCCTACAATTTGGCAGCCTGGAGTGGAGATGCCCACGTGGGACCTGTAGCCCAGGCATGGCCACAGCCTGGTCCCCTCTGCCCTCCCTTGCTGGGCTGTTCTGGATCCCCTCAGTGCCCTGGTGCTGCTGCAGGTAACGAGAAAGCCTTTGCTGTGCCACTGCAGGTGAGTCACAAACAGCAGGAGATGGGAGGCTCAGGAGAACAAATATCAACATAAACCCAGTGCTTTGAGTTGGCCAAGGGAGATGCCCTGTGCCTACATCCCAGTGCAGTGGCCAGAGGGCTGGGCAGCAGCTGTGTCAGCTGAGCCAAGCAGAAGCACCCAGGAGACTGGCCAGTCTCACCACTGCCAAATCTGCTGGACCTCAGCCTGCCCGTTATTGGGATGGAACTTCGGGAGGATGGTTTATCATAACGCTTTGTTTTCCAAATCTACCCAAATTAGTTCCACCTGGCTTCCCATCAGATGTGCCACACGTGGCTTTGACCAAAATAACCTCAGGAGGCCGTCAGGAGCTTGCTGGACTCCAGGATGCCTGGCAGCTTGATTTCTCTGCTTGGCTGATGGGAGAGCTGGCACATGCTCTGTCCAGGGATTATGAAGGTATCTGTGCAGAAATGCTTTTTATTTCCCCTGTGGAGTGACAAATAAATCATCCATGTAGTCTAAAATGCTTGCAGAGAAAATAAATGCCAATGGATTCCAATTTTTTCCCCTAACAGTTTTAATGTAGCAAAACTAGTTTTATTACTGAAAATCAGAAAATAGTTTGACTAACACTGCAGCCAACTTAAAAAAAAAATGCATTTTAGGTAGACAGAAAATAACAATTAGGAATGAGTCAAATAAATTGTTTCTCTCCAAATTGGTACTGACTTATTTTCATAACAATTCACTTACACTCTGGGTTTTTTGAAATCTAAGTCAATAGTGTAAAAAGCCTGTCAAATTCTAATTTATTAATGATTCTTACTAATGAAAACCTTAACTAGGAGCCTGAAACAGGAGCTATTATTTAAACAATTTCTTCTCCTCCTCACTAACCATCCTGGGTCTAATCCTGCAAATTTAGAGCTTTAATTGAGGATTATTCTGGATCATATTTTTAGCATGGAAGTGATGAAGCCTTGCCACATTTATTTCTGTTGGTAAGGGCAATATTGGGCCATTCCCAGTAAAACAAGAGAGTGCATTTATTTCATCAAACAAAAAGCAAACATTGTATCAGCTTTAATC